TGGATTCACTGCCAAATTGTTTTTGAACAAAAAGTATTTGGCTTTTTGTTTTACAACCCGCATCCTGCCTAAAGAGTTAAGCTGAGCCTTCGCTCCCGGTGTTTGTGGGATTGTGCAGTTTCTGCCCTTCCTTTCACATCCACACCACCTGGCCGCTGCTTCGGCAGGGCTTGGGTTCTCACACCCATGCTTAGACCATCAGCTTTCAAGGTTGAGTGAGGAGCTTCAGAGAAGCTTTGGTTTAAAATAAAATTTTAAAAAGTCATAATTTTTTTCCAAAATAAAAAAAGCTGAAGTTTGGAAAAGATCATCCAAATACTTAAATGAGACTTATGAATTGCTTAAGTGAAATGTAACAGAATTGTATTTTATTGGAATTAGTATGTTTCTGCAAAAATGTTGTGGGGGTTTTTTTTTTCCCTAATCCAGAGTCTTCAAACATTTTTCTGCCCAGCTTAAAAAACCCCCAGCAAACCAGAACCATTTACATGACTGGGCTTAAAGGATGAAAACATTGCAATTTTCAGTTACTACAGGTGTGGGGATTCTGCATTATTTTTTGCTTTATATATGTAAAAATTAAAATGTGAATCCAAAAACCAAACTGCAGAGAGAAATGATACATTCATATCCTTTTATATTTATACATCTAATGAAAATTTATGTTGTTTGCTAATCCACACCAAAACCTATCCATTTAAGGTATGAGGTACATATGGTTGCTGACTGAATTGACACAAGTAGTGTTGTTCAGAGTGGTAAAGACCCCAAGTTCAAAGGCAAGGCTGCTTTGGGTTTGGGGTTTTTTTTGGTGTAGTTTGTTTTGTAGCTGGAAGCTGATGGCTTACCCAGGCTGCATTTCAGAACGACATTAAGGTTATTAGCTATGCGGGACTGGGACATATAGCCTGGCTTGCATTTCACACTGTTTACCAGTGTTAAAATAATTCTTCCTGAGGTCTCTCCTGAGTTCGATGCTGTCTGTACAAGGGCTTTTAGCTATAACACTGTAACTCAATGGCCTTATTTTTATAAGCATTTTCTGTGCATGTAGGCACTGACAGATGTGACTTGGTGCTGTACTGGGAGGCCTTGGGAAAGCAAGAGCCCTCTGCCCCATCCATCCAAGGTTGCCTGCTTGTTGGTCTGGCAGGGGGAGGAGCTGTTGCCATTAGACATCAAAGATTGGGAGTCTTTAGCTGTTGACTCTAGGCGGGCCCAGTTCCCCAGAACATCAAAAATGCATGTTAAGTAGAAACATATGCAAGTTAAAAGCATTATTTATGCATGTATTGCAGACACAAGTCTGTTCAATAGAGCAAAATGTTGTGGTGAGGTGCGATAAGCTTTAACATACGTACGTTGCTCTCCTCCTCTCTCAGGTGACAGCATTTCCTTAGGGGAAGCGGCTGACCTTGCCCCGCGCCTTGGCAGACGTCCCAGTTCGGTTGACTCGGTTGCAACAGAGCCCTGGCTGCGACCAGGGACGTCAGAGACGCTCCAGCGGCTCCTGGCTGAACAGTCAAGCCCAGCAAAGCTTTCGCCTGAAAACACGCTGCCGCTTAGTTGGCAAGGCCTCTCAACCGCGCACGGCTGACTCGAGCCCGCGCGAACCGGCTGTGCCTTGCGGCGGCGGCGGGACCGCTCAGCACTACTGCACTTTCCAGGGTCTCTCGCAGGGGTCGTTCTCTTCCCTGGATGTCGTGTGGAGCCGTACGTGTCATTTACATTAGCAATAATAAAGTAACAGCAGCTGCAGTGTAATGGGAGAGGTAGAGCAGGGGTGTTTTGCATTACATGACGTGGGAAGTGGAGGAAGGAATAGCTTGGTGGGTTTTTGCACTTTTTAGGCAAGTAAATTTTCAGCCTCAGAGCTGGACTTACCACAAAAACAGAGTGTGTGTGTGTGTGTGAATTTGATATTAAATCAAACTTGATTTTTAGCTTTGTTTATAGCCAAGCTCCAAAACTGTCTGGAAATAGAGTAACCCAACAGCAGAGATAGACAGATACATTCTAAGCTTTTACCAAAAGAGGAAACACCTTGGAGAAGGGCCCTTGCTTCTCGTACAGTGCTGAGTGCTATCCTGCACGAATGCTCAGCAAGCAGTTTCATGGGACAATGACTATTAGCAATGTATCTTCATTCCCTAACCTGTTATGTGCTGGAAATACAGGTGGTGTTACATATATTTAATTTATGGTTCTGATTTAAGAGTTAATAAATTATTTTGTTACTAAAAATGTGAAAGCAGACTTTGCTTTTCTTAATTTATCATTTACTTCAGCTTACATTTATTCATAAACAAACAAGAACTTTAAGCCCACCTTTGAAGAAGCAGGAAATCCACATGGAAGCATTGCTGAATGAACGCACAGAGCTTTAGCAAGGACATGCAGAGGGAGCCAGGATTTTAGGAGTTCAGTGAGCTTAAGCACCGAGGTGAAGCAAGGGTAAGGCTGTGACTCTCCTCTTGATTAGCAATTCCCACCCAGAGGCCAAAGCTTGACCAGCAGGGCAAAACAAATGATGACACCAAACCCATTTCTAAAAATGTCCTTATTTTTACTGAAGTGCTGCCTTCAAGCTTCTGTCTACCTGCTTGAAGGCCACAAGGGTTCTGTGCTGACGGCAGGCAAGAGATGCTCGCTGTTTCACCATTGTGTTGCGCTTAACTTCTTCATGGGTCGAGCATGTTCCTTCCCACAGAGGAAGTGCCAAATGGGGCTCATTCTTACCCCGTTTCCGGCACATGAGCTAAAAGGCTTATCGCGTCCATCAGCTCGGGTATGACAGCAATGGCCAGTAACACAGGAATCCCAAAAGAATTTTAAGCGGCTAAGGTGAAAATATATAATACTTACTGCCACACCACAGAGCCTCTCATGCTGAAGCCCACACCTTACATACATCATCCTTAGTGTCTGTTTGTCACCTGCCAGCCTGCCCCTTGTTTTTGATGCCTGACGCCTCTTCACAGGTGCTTCCTGAGTTGGATACATTCACCGTACTAACTCCAGGCCAGATAGAGAAATTCGCCTCTTCCTCACCTAGTGGCCTCACCTAGTTTAATTTTTCTTTAGCCCCTGAGCTTTGATTGAAGTCTTATCCCCCGACAGAAGCACCAGGTTAGCATCACCCTAGAAAGCCAGCCTCATTGCACCGCAAGTTTTTTTGTAAATGTCACCGACCACCACAGGCTGGCATTGGCATCCTCCTGCTCAAATCCAGGCCATTCCACAGCCCCCCTTGCAGCTGCCTCCTTCACCTCTGCAGTGACCTGGAAGCACTGACCTCGCTTTAACCTCGCTGCTCAACAGCACTGAGCGCAGTGAATCACACCCTTCCTCACAGCTGCCCTCCCTTCAGCATCCGGGCTGCTTTTCGGGATACTCTTGGTCCTTCACACCTTCCCTTTCCCAATCTTTCCTTCAGCTTTCTCTGCACGTCCAACGTTCTGCTGTAGGCAGGGCCTTTCTGCCTGCCTTCCTAAAATGTTTTCATTTTTTTTTTACTATGACAGTCTCATCTACAAAATAAATGCAGCTGCGCTCCACAGTCCTGAGCTCAAAGTTGAGACGACCAAAACAGAACCTGTTTCCTGTGCCCGACCCTGCTTTTCGAATAATTCTTGTAGATGTGGCCATGAGAAGAGTTGCGAGTTGAACATGACACCCCAAGTACAGCTGGCGCCGGTCTGACACTGCAAGAACTAAAGAGGGGCACAGGAAATAGGAAGGGTGATACAGGAGTTCAGTTTCCAATGAGCCAAGACTAAACGGCCGTTAGGCCTTTTCCACATAATCAATGAACAACGGAAGGCAGGAGAAGGTCATGCTGTAAAAAAGTCATGACTAAACAGGAGTAACAATGAAGCAGTAAGGTTTAAAACAAAAACACAAACAAAAAACCACTCCAACCCAAGCTACCAAACTTTGTAGGTACTCACTCTATTGTACTCACTGCCCCTGCATGGCGAGTCCTGAACACAGACGTTTAAAAAGGAGTGGGGCAGACGCCTGGACAGCAGATGCGTTAAGCGGCCGCTGAGCCAGCGCTCTGGGTAACGGCGTCAGGAACACCTCCTTGGTGCAGAGGGATAGGGTACATCATACTTTTAAGAATTATTACTGATCCCTGTCAGACAGTCAGGAAAGACCTCAGGTCTGGCCTAGTACCACGGTTTTAAGATTTAAACATTACACAACAAACTGGAAAAATAAAATACAGCCCAAAAAGAAAGACTGTACAATTACAATTAAAATGATCTCACTTCTCCCCCTTCTTTGCTTGGTAAATGCAATTTGGTTTTGCTCCACCCCAATTAACACCACAAGAAAACTCCCAGTCGCAGGCCCTGCCTTTTAATTCCCATCCCTGGCTTTTCCGTAGCCATTTCATTGAACTGCTTACGCTTAACTTCTGGAGCCTGCTGGGAAGAGCTGCCAGGAGGTGCCTTCACCTCCGAGATCGGGCTCCCTCATCCGCCTTCTCAGTCTTCACGCTTCTCTCCGTGGCCAGCCCTCAGTTTTGTGAGAACGCGCCGGAGAACAATCCAATTCCAATTCTACTTAAAAAATCCAAGACGCTGACAAGGCTTAGCTGCCCAGTATATTCCGAGTCAGCAGCCCCAGCCTTTCACTCCCATCCACCCTCACTCCATCGTCTGTTTCCTTTTAATACTTTAACCCCCAGAAAGCAAAATGCAGAATTTGAGTTTCTGCCTGGGCAGCACTACAGGGTTCATTTGCCTCATCCAACTACAGGCAATTTTTTTTTTTTTTTTTTTTTTTTTTTAAAACTTACTGTATTTGCCTAACAGTGAGAAGACACATCCCGGTCAACCAAAGGGCACCCACCTTTTGGCCCCCACAGGGCTGGGGCTCGTTCCCTTGAGATGAAAGCACGAGAGGAAAAGGAAACTGTAAAACAAGTAGCTGTGGGTTAGACTGGGTTTGATTGCACTGATGAAAGAGTTCAAAAACTTTATTGACCTATAACCTGATTAGAATATGCCAGATGAGAACCAAATATTGTACAGAAAGTTGTACAGAATTTTTTTTTTTTTACATAGAAAACTTTACATATCTGTACCATATACATTTTGTCCATCTGAAAAAAATTTCTACATCCATTGTAATACAGAATGCTTGACAATCTCGTCTTTTAACCATCGGAGCACAATTCACAGTATGGATACATTTCCAGTAAGTTCAACCATCCCCAAACCATGCCAGATTTGTTACTTGAATATATTCAACATTAAATTCTGTACATAAGAGTGAAATCTACATCAAACAAAAAACATCTGACAGCAGACACAACCTAGACTTGTTTGCAGTGATTCAAGTTCCAGTCCTTGAAGGATCATCCTTTCAATGGCTCGTTATATTTAAAAGCCCTAAACCAAGTATATTACAGGTAGTTATGTCAGTCGTGATATTTCTACCTCTGTTCTTGACAAAAGTCAGCAACACTAACTGCTGGGCTACAACGAAACCAAAACCAAAAAAAAAGAAAAAAAAAAAGAAAAAAAAAAAAAAGAAAAGAAATCACAACCCCCCAAAATAAACCCAACCTTCTAGTGCATTTGGTTAACAATGAAGTGTTGTGGGTTTTCAGCAAATCAATAATACAGAAATAAAACAATTCAGGAAGAACTGTATAGTGTTAAAGAGTTTATATTACAGACCTGCATCTCTGTACATTTTTCACAGAAGGATGATTACCAATGTCTCAGACAGCCTGAGTGTGCAAAAAGTCTTAGAATATCAGACATAGTTGCTAAATATCTTTTACCATGAACAATAATCTCCATTTTCTTTTCACTATAAACATTTTATCCTTCAAAATACAGCTCTCCTGAGTTGTACTTCTTGCAGAAGCTCAAACCTTTACATATATAGTTCTTTGGGTACATTTTCCTTTCACACCCGCCATAAACATCTGTTGCTATACTGCTGCCTAGGACAGTAAAGGATACCGCAGCCCATGCTGACGAGAGGACTGTGCTAAAAACTGGCTCTGTGCTCAGCATGAGCCAGGCAAGAGAAACCGCTAGAGATAATCCATCAGGAAACAAAGGGACTGGAGCGTTGCAAGCCTTAATTACAGTGGTAAGCATCTGTACCGTTAACCCTTGGATACACATCGCCGGACAAAGAAACCATTTTTATGGATATCCAGACAGAATGGCTCAGCTACCTGGTCCTTTTATTTAGCTGAGGAATATAAACTTTTAAACGGAGCAATACTCAGTCACGACCTGCTACTGCTTGCTTAGTCCAGACTCTTGTTCCGGTGGTTGGGAGATTTGGAACACCACGCCAATCCGCAGGAAAAACCTTCGTAGAACGGCTCGAAGTTCAGGAATAAGGTCAAACTGCATAATTTCACACAACAGAGGATAGTAGAACGAGGCATGAGCCTTGAACTGAGGAGGAAACAGAAGAGGTTATTCCAGTACGCATCGCGTGTTGCAAGTGAAGAATCATAGAATCATAGAATCATAGAATGTTTTGGGTTGGAAGGGACCCCTAGAGGTCATCTAGTCCAACCCCCCTGCAGTGAGCAGGGACACCGCTAACTAGATCAGTTTGCTCAGAGCCCCATCCAACCTGGCCTTGAATGTTTCCAGGGATGGGGCCTC